CGCGATTATTTTAATCGCGCCTTCATTTCCCTCTGCCGATCTGGCTAATCTACATGCCTCCGTCGAAGGAGGCATGTAGTCTAGACACACCCTTAGTGATTTCAACTCTTCAGCCATCACCTAGGCTGGCAAAAGATTCCAGTTTCCACTGGAATAGAAAAAAGGACTCCTGATGGAATCTGCTTTAGGTCTTTTTTTAAAGCAAGGGGGAAAGAGGCAGATTGACCCAGTCTTACAGCTCACACTTGGCAGGCATAACACAGGCTGGCACAAGCCCTTCCCTTCAAGCTCAGTACACCCAACTCTGTAGGGGGAGGCTTGTTCATCTGAGACCTCTTACAATGATGGTGTCTCAGAGAGGCGAATCATCATGAACCTCAAGGCCTACAGGATCACTCAGCAGTCAGGCAATTTGCAGGAGAAAGGACAGCAAAATTGACATCCAAATGGCCAGGGCTCGACAAATACGCTTATCTACTCGCCCGTGGGGAGTAAATTTCAGCCGGTCACCCCGTTCCTGGCAGCTCACACTGGCTCAGGTACTGATTTGTGCAGCCCGAATGAATAACGTTTATTATGCTGGGGGATTAAAGATAGTTGTTTGTTTCTACCAAACTGTGAATGTGATGTAATGATATCTGACAAAATAGAACTGGAGTGGATATTTACAGGGACTAGATGCAGTTATTTATTTGTTTAAAGGCACTAATCCTGCAATTATTTACACACAGTATATATATGTAATTTCAATCAAGGGAGTATGTCACATTGAAATGCACGGAGCAATGCATCTGACTAACCATGACCCTTTAGTCATTGTTCTAGTCTAATTACGAAACAGATTGAAAGAAGATGACCTGGATATTCTAATGAGGATCAATTTTCACACTGCAAGTGAGGGAGACATAAACCCTGACACTGTGTATGAACACTGGAAGAATTGCAAAGGCAGAAAGGAAAAGGTTCATCATGATGACCAGCAGCAAGTAACTGCCCCATCATCTAGCCTGGCAGCGTTAGCTAGTGGCTGCGATTAGTGGTTTTCTAAATACAGAAATAAATGAAGTAATTTTTTAGTTAAAATTTCATATTTTGTTTTATACTTCATAAGTCACAACAACAGCAGAAACTCTCTACACACTTTTGCCCATAGAAAGTTTTTTTCATGTGTGTCAAGCCAAGAGGCATAATCTTTAATTTCAAGCATAAACGGTAACAAATTTTTCATTTCATATGTCAATACAAATGTCAAGAAAATGGTTAATTTTGTGTTATGCCTCAAAGGATCAGGACACCTGTAAGACACCAAATGGCTACTGAAAACAACGTATTTGATTTCATAGTAAACAAACATTTAAAGTCAGGCACCTTGCCAACGATCCCTTGTCGTAATATTCTTTCTTCCATAACATTTTAAATATATCTAAGAGAAGAGACTAAGCTGAGTACTGGGAGTTCAGGGGCCTGTGAACCCCTACCCCAAGGGGTCTGGGGCTCCCTGCCCCCTTACTCCGATGCCCCCATTGAACCCGGGTTGTGCTGTATCTTGGAGAAGCAATAAACCCTCTCTATTCTACTGGCTGGCGGAGTCTCATCTTGCTGTAGATGCGGTGCAGGATCGGGGGTACCCAACGTGCCACCACAGAAGTATAAACAAATGAGTAGAAAATACAACATTTGTATACGCAGCACATAAAGTAATAGAAGAGTAAGGTGCATACTTCAGTGTTGGTGGGATGGGGAATTACTTACAGAAAGAAGGGTTTTTAATAAGTTTTCAATTACAAATGGATTTTCTAAAGTACTTTCACATTTACAAATCTGGCCTATAGTGAGTATTTGAGAACCAAGATCTACCCAAGTGGTGACTTGTGACAAAGCACTAAGGTGCTGGGTAGAGAATCAAAACAGCTGACAAAGGCTGCCCCCATTGGAGGATAAAAGGAAACTGAAGGAGTTTTGACACAGTCCCAAGAAATCTGTCAGCCTGGATATCACATGGACCCAAAGAACAAAAATCTGAAGCTGCAGTACAGACAAAAAGTGCTAGATTAGAAACACTGGACTAGGGGACTGCGGAAACTGCCAGCTACAGAGTGTTTCCAATGATTTCTTGGTAGTAACAATACACACAAGGATGCCTAACAACAGCTCTGTGCACGCTGTTACTGTAAATCAATGTTGTGGTGCTCGAAGTAATAAAAAGAATAGTTTTTAAAGTAAATGGCTTAAAGGAGCAAAACACCACTGAAGAGCAAGGCCAGGCAGTCTGGGCAATGACAACAGCAGGTAGGACACATTTGCAAACTCCTTTGAAACTTTGTGCATACACAGAAGCGGATCAGGGGTTCTTTTTAGACCCTAAAACCAAGGTCTGGCCATGGCAGTGCGCGGCAGGGGCTGTATCTAAACCATTTTCCCGGCATCCAGCCCCTTTAGCAGGCGACTCCACTTTACCCGGCAGGGAAGCGCTGCCTTGGCCAGTCCCACGGGCACGTTGTGCCAGTCAGATCCCAGCTCTGGGAAGCGGCCCTCAGATGCCCCATCCTGGAAATAGGAAACACCCCACACCTGTCCCTCTGGCCGGTTTTGCAAACACCGCAGATGCCTCCTTCCCTTCATCCCCCGTCACGTCTCTCCCCGAACGCGGAACCCGGTGTCTGGTACCAGCTGCACCCAGCGTTCCAGCCCCGCCTGCCTGCGCCTGCGCGCAGAGTGAGGGCAGCAGCCTCAGCCGCGGCTACTGCGCAAACTCCGCTCGGGGACGCCTGCGCAGCGCGCCCTAAGAAGCGAACTCTGAGACCAGCTGTTCGTGTCGCTGGAGCCCGGTGTGTGCGGGGCGGGGGCCGTTGTTCAGGGGCCAAACTGACCGCGCGGGTGTGGAGGGGTGACACGGAGCGGAGGGGGACCCGGGCTTGGAGGGGAGGGAGGATGGAAGTGACGCCGGGGGGTGGGGAGGGAAGGAGGCATCTGCAGTGTTTGCAAAACCGGCCCGTGGGGCAGGTGGGGGGCGTTTCCTATTTCCAGGGGGGGG